ACAGGCTGCTGTAACAAAATACCACAGACTGGGGGGCTTCAACAACAGACATTTATTTTACCACAGTTCTTGAGACTGAGAAGTCCAAGATCAAGGTGCCAGTAGGGTCAGTTTCTGGTGAGGGCCTTCTTCCTGGCTCTCAGATGGATACTTTCTTGCTGTATCCTCACATGGCAAAGACAGTGGAAAAATCAGATCTGTAGCGTCTCTTCCTTTTATAATGACGTTAGTTCTATTAGATGAGGGCTTCAATCTTACGACCTCATTTACCCTTCATCCCCTCCTAAGGCTCCATCTCCTATACAGTCTCATAAAAGTTAGGGCTTCAACATATACATGTAGGGGGACATAATTCAGTCCATTACGGACACTATCTTCCTTATATTTACATATTGAAGGGACTATTCCCAGATCCTGGAGAAAAATATATCTGGGTCATAAATCTGCCAAGAGACTATAAAAAGACTTACATCTCAAAGGTAAAGAGAAAAAAAAATTATAGTAGAAAGTTTTCTAAAGGAAATGCTCTAAGAAAAGTTGGATCAGAGGCTATTGTCAGGAAGAAAGCTGTCCTAAGTTTAGTCAAGCTGAGGGAAACGTTTAAAATGCTTTGGTTAACATGGGAGTCAACATTGTTTCCTGAACTCTCTGAAAAAAAAAAAATTGCTACAAATTCTCCTTGTCTTTGTCTTCATTGATGGTAAAGCTGGCCATATAGTACTCTACAGATTAGCTGAGCCATGTAGCAGCAGTCCCCAAACTTTATGGCACTAGGGACCGTTTTCATGGAAGACAATTTTCCCACAAACTGGAGTGGGAGGTGGGGGTTGGGGTTTGGTTTTGGTACCATTTAATTGTATTACATTTATTGTGTACTTTATTTCTATTATTGCATCTTAATATATATAATGAAATAATTATAAAACTCACCCTAGGTTGGGGACCACTCTCTTAGAGGACCTGTGAAGAGGAGCATAATGCAAAGTAGTGATATTTAAATTAATACTCCCAAATTTTCCCCATGCTTATTAACTAAAGGAGGGAAATGAGTCTGTGTTTAATAATAATTTATTTTGTGTTCCTTGGGCTTTCCCTGTCTGTAGGCCAATTATCTTTTTTTTGGTGGACTGATGGCATAGAAACAGAGCAAAGACCAGCTCTTTATTTACCCTACAGTATAGGGTCAAGGCCAGGTTTGTGTATCTGTGTGTTGATGACAGCAATGTCAAGGGAATAGAGAGAGAAGAGGGAAATGAGAGAGGAAGGAAAAATAGGAAGGGGGCATATCTTCTCTTGGATTGGTACTCTCAATATCAGCTGTAAGTGCTGTTCATTGGCAAAACTGCCATAGGTTCTCTCACTCTGTTGAAAATCAACTACTCGCAAAGGGGTTTTTCAGTTTACTTACCGTTTGGTGAAATTTTAGTTAATTGGGTGAAGAACAGGTTTGATACTAGCATGAGGTGAAAGACACACCTGCCTCTACAGGCAAAATTTAAGGGGAAACCAAAAATCAAAATTAATTCAAAACACGATCAATATTAATGATTTTTAAATGTTTTGCTTCTGGTCTAATATGGATTTACAAGGCTCTGTTACTGACCCTCTTTTGATTTAAAATTTTAATGTTTTGTTTCCCATGGATTTTTGCATCAGTTTTGCTGTCTAAAAGTATCACACTACGAAATTGGAACGAACTGATGAGCATATATGTGCATAGAAGGAAGTAAAGCTCAACGAAATCAACTGGGGCTGAGTGGGGAGGAGGGAATGGGGGGAAAGATACCTAACGGGTACAGTGAACAATATCTGGGTCACAGGCACTCCTATAACCATGACTCAAGTATTATAAAAGTGACTCAGGTAACTGAAAAAAAATTATTTATCTTAATTACCAAGCTTTTTAGTATCACTTTAAATTTTATAGGCAAGTTGGGTACCTCACTTATATTGCCCTACTTTCTACTCTGCTGAAGAAAAAAAGAGTTTTGGCACTTTTTTATGATTCACACTGTATTTTTAGTCTTTCTAGTTGAGTGGAGTACTTTTAGAAAACGAGCATTATTAAGCAGAGCTTTCCTTGGTGTGCACTAATGGAGATGAATGCTGGTCTAGTTAAGAACAATATTGTTGTTCACTCTCCACTAAGTCACTTAACAGGAAGGCAGAAGTGTCGCCAATTGGAAGTTTGATGAAGAGAAACACCTCTGATGGTGTACAGATAATGTAGACATTTTCATGTCAGTAATAAAGAATGTTAAATGGACAAAATTGATTAAGGAACAAAATACATGATATATAATGCTACAAATTAGTCATATTATGTTTGCAAGTTTTTTAACCTATGTAACCATCATCTTTAGTCTTCTAAAGTAGGGATTTATTCAGTCAATGTCTTGGCATTGTGAAAAGAAAATGAATGCACTCTAAAAAGGTCTATAAGCGTAAGGTCAAATTTGTGTAGAGTTTAGGTGGGTATATCTCTCCTGCTTAGTTGGATATCTGGGAACAAATAAATACTATAACTCTAATTTATTTAAACATTCCTTTTTTTATTAAATTCATAATAATGCTATGTATAGTTAAATTACATAGAATCCTAATTTTAAAAGCAAAATAATATATGGAACAGAGAAGAGAAATGGGGTATTTCTATTGATTTAGGAGGGACCATTTACAAAACTGTAAGAGTTCAAATAACTCTCACAATTTACATAGACCACAACTAAAGTAGCCTGAATTAATGTGTTTCATAAAGCAGGTTTGGCAAACTTTTGGTAAAGGGCTGGATAGTTAATATTTTAAACTTTTTAGGCCATATGTTCTCCGTTGCAACTACTTAACCCTGCCATTATAGTAGGAAAGCAGCCATTGGAACTAGTAAACAAATAGGCATGGTCGTGTTCCAGTAAAACTATATTTATAAAAACAGGTAGTGGGCTGAGTTTGGCCTACAGGCCAAAGTTTTCCTACCCTTGTGTTAGATACTTCTAGATGCTTCATCAAAAACTAATGAACTTGGTTCTCTATGTTAGAGGGCCAGAAAGGATTCATACCATTTATAAAGCTGAATATTCAAGCAATTATCCACATGTAAATGTACCTTCAGGACTAATGACTGTAATAGCTGCTATGTCCATATCTGATCTTATCTATCATTCTATATCCAGCAAGATTACTTAATGTTAAATGTTATTACTAGGTAGGCATGGCACTTCTGTTTTTCCATTATTTCACCCCCTTATGAACTAAAAAAATTCTGGAAATTTAATACTTTATTGAAGGCCATGAAGCTTAAGGATATTTTTATATGAGGATAGATTGTTTTATTGGCAGTAATAAATGCTTCTTAATGGGGCAGTGACTCAGCTAAAACCACAAAATTGAGGTGGCCTAACATGGAAAGTTGGTTAACTAGATATTTGCTTTTCAGTTGCAGTAGGACATCTTTCCAATTTAAGAATAATTTACTATAGCTGTAAGGTCAGAGGCTAAGTGGTGCTGAAACTGCACTATTTTAAAAATAGGGCTGTTTGGAAAAGCTATTCTGAAAGAGATAGCATTTCTTTCTATGAGTATTGCATATAGCAATATCTTTGTTGTTTTTCCAATTAATAGATATTATAAATGATAAGCAGGAAAAAATATACAATGATTTAAAAACCAAAGCAGTATATACTTTATTTAGTAATTCTATCACGTGGGAAAAGAATTAATAAAACATTAGAACAAAATATTAGAATGAATGTGGTTTTCCTTTCTAAAGATTTTTGCAGAAATGACATATGTTTGAATGAAAATTGCTAGATATATGAGATATTAGCATTGCTATGTCTTCTGGAAGGTCCATAACTAACCCTACAGTTATATCTTTGGTAAAGACAATACAGTGTTCTCCCCAACTAAGAGTCTGAAGAAAAGTGGTTTTATCAATCACTAACAGAAATAGCCAAGAGATCAAAGAGTATTCAAGTCATTAAACCTCAGAAACTATTTGCTCAAATCTTTAATTAGAGATGAAGAAACTGATATCCAGATAATTTAAGAGATTTTGTGAAAGGTCACACCAAGTATATTGACAGGTTTGCCATTTGTACTCTGGGTTTTTCATCCCTGAGCTTTGCTCTTAGAAAGTGAACTTTCATTCATATTCAGCCACAGAGACTCACATGGTTGAAACCATGTAGACATGTGAAAACCACAATCCCAGGGCTGGCATTCCAGTGCTTCTAGTTAGGATTATCGCAACGTTTCCTTCATAGTGAATTTAATGACATTAGAAAGTATGGATTTCCACCTATATCTTATCTTAATTAGTGCTAATTTATTTAAGTCATTAGATTACATAGGTTAAAATTTCTGGGACCAAAATCTCAAATCAATCGTATTTCCTAGAAGCCATCTTACTTTATAGCTGAATGGGAGTATAGGTATTTGGCAGGTGGCATCTCAACGTAAATACACTCAGTTAAGGTTAATGGTTTTATGTTTTAATCTTTCTGTTGCTTTTTGGCTTCACTTCATATGGAATAAGCTTTTATTTTCAAACCTCTCTTTCGTGGCTAGGACTAGGACAAGACACCTCAAATACACAAGTCAAGGAGACTGGCACTTGGAGGACGTTAAGAATAAGAACCTCCTTGGGTTTACTCACCACCCCTGAATTAAAAGGAAAAAAAGGGGGGGTTGGAGAGAACCTCCTTGATTTTTGTGGCTTAGTAGCCTCTCTCCTACCCTAGCCCAGCCCTCTCTTTTTACAATGATTTCTTCCCTGACAGTATGTTGATAGAATGATTGTGACAATTTATGTCATATCATATTGCAATCGCATCAATTTTATTTTAGTCAGAATATCTTGGACTTAAAGTATTCAATTTATATGAATTAACTAGACATTGAATACATAGTTCAGATAAAAGTCATGTGGCTATGTGGCATAGATTACCAGATAAACCTTGATTTCTTCAGAAACATCTCATCATATGAGAAATGACCTGATCTTTCACATTAATCACTGACCTTTAGTCAGACTTTTTATTGATGTTGCACATTTCCCACTTTTATTCAAATTCTTCTTCCTATTTATTCACTGTATACATATGAAGAGAAAGATAGAAAGAAGCAGTTATTGAACCTTTTGTTTCCTGAGCCCTGCACCAGATATTGTACATCTAATAAAAGATCTAATAATGTGTCTAATCATTGCATTTCTTTGGTGTTTTATATTTTTCTTATAAAAATAAGCCTTAAGAGGCATGGGGTTCATGACTCACAGTAATAAAAAGGTTATTTCTCCCTCTTGCAGGAAAAGTTTAATAACAAAGGTATTATGGAGCTATATATGTATATCTCTCTCTACATATATATGAATATATAAAAACTAAATATACCTGAGCAAATCTGGCATTGGTTTAATCCACTTTTAGTATAAGAGTAATGTGACTCTGTCTTTTTGCCATCAGAACTTAATCATGGATTTCTTGATTTCTATGTTTATTATCCATTGTTATGATAAATAAGGTGTGAACCACTCAATTACAGCATCAGTGTTGCAACCACAGTTAATTTTTGGTTTGAACTGATTGATCCAGTTTGATTCAAAGCAGGAACAGTCAGCATAAGCAAATCTTGCCTCCCAGTCACTGAATAGATCACCTTGTAATTAATTTACCTTGTAAAATTTACCTACAAAGAAAAATGGATTAATATTTTCTCATTTGTATATTAGAACAACACAATAATGAACATATATGTATTCCCTTCCTGTTGAGGCCCAAAGAGTCCAAGAACATAGGGTCAGTTAGTGTCAAAACAAATTCAACCCCAACTCTCTTTGACAGCAAAGCTCAATCTTAAATACAATGATACTATTTAGAGGTTTACCATATTTATTTTTATATCTATTTTTGTCTCTTATTTTAAAAAAAGTGGTAAACTATACATCACATAAAATTTACCATCTTAACCATTTTTAACTGTGCAGTTTAGTGGCATTAAGTATATTCATATTGTTTTGCTACCATCATCACCATTCAACCACGGTACTCTTTTCACTTTGTAAAACTGAAGCTCTTTGTAAAACTGTACCTACTAAATAATAGTTCCTTATTGCCTTCTCCCCTCCAGGCCCTAGCAACTGCCATTCTACTTTCTGTCTCTATGAATTTCACTGATGTAAGTATGACAAATAAATGGAATCATATGCTATTGGGGTTGTGATTGGCTTCTTTCACCTAGATAATGTCCTCAACGTTCATCCATGTTGTAGCATGTATCAGGATTGCTTTCATTTTTAATGTTGAATAATATTCCATCATATAAATATAGCACCTTTTGTTTACCCATGAAAAATTGGGTTGCTTTCACCTTTCACCCTATTTATTTATAGCCTTCCATAAAACAGCGGTTGCTTTCTCTTGGAATTTCGGTAGATTCTTTGCTGTACATATTTTTTAAGTAACATTGTAGATTAAATGACAAATAATCCCAACAAACAGAGAATGAAGTGTTGGATTGATCTGACACCCATGGGATTATTTTTTTTCCAACATAACTAGTGGTGGGTTTGGGGTGAGTCAGAGAAATGTCCCAGAGAAGGGAAATGACGACCATGGATTTCACTGCTGTGTGTGCAGGAAAGCAGCACATGCTTCCGTTTGAGCACAAAAGCAAGGATGCTTATACTGCCCAGGAGCAATGTTTCAACATCTTGGAACTTTTGGTCATAAAACATATTATAAATTCTTACTCCTGAGTAGCCTTAAGACAAACACAGTGGGGAGAATAAAGTAAAGGCCAGTAAAACATTTTAAATCAAAGCTAATGAAGCAAATAATTTCAAAAAATCACATTCTTTGATAATAATGAAGCACTAGCTTTGGAATAAATTACTGAAGTCATTTTTCCATAAATAAAATTATTTGTTGTCTCTTAAAGTGGCTTGTATAATGTATAATTTGATTGTGTCTTCTTATTTAGCACTTATGGCAGACTCCTTGATCCAACCCAATTCAGTTACATAGACACAGATTCTGAATTTGTTTTGTTTTGTTTTTTTGTGAGATGTGGTCTTGCTATGTTGCCCAGGCTGGACTCAAACTCCTGGGCACAAGGAATCCTCCTGCCTTAGCCTCCCATATAGCAGGGACTTCAGATGTGTAGGTACAAGCCTATGCAGTGCCAGGCTTCAATTTTTTTTCTTTTAATTGCAATGGCCATGGTCCTTTATTTGTTAGTCTACTGTGTTTTGCATAGTTGTGATACTCTTTGCTCTTTGCTTTGATTTATTTTTATATAAATTTAAGAGATACAAGTGCAATTTTGTTACATGGGTATATATGTGTAGTAATATGGTAATGGTGAAATCTGGGGTTTTAGTGTATCCATCACCTGAATAAACTACATTCTACTCATTAAGTAATTTCTTATCACACTCCCACCCTTCCAAGTCTTTATGGTCTATCATTCCACACTGTATGTCCATGTGTGCATATTATTTAGCACCCACTTTTAAGAATATGTAGTACCCTTTGCTCTTAATAATCCATAGCTGCTATGTAAAAGTGTCAGGGAAGCTAAAACTGAATACTGTAAATACAGTACTGTAAATACAGCTAAATACTGAAAATACTGTAAATACAGCTAAAACTTAAAATGTAATAAAATTGGTCAAACATGAAGGAATTGACTGGGATAACTCTCCACAGGTCAACTTGAATTATAAATTAATAGTAATTTTTAGATAAAGCAGAGCAGGTAAGAGATTTTCTTGTATGTGAGATAGATGTCGGGCTGGAACTGGATTTTCTGGGGTGTGCCTGAGAATTTAATTAAGGATAGAGATATAAAAGAAGTGAGAGATGACATGAGAGACCAAATGAAATATTTCATTAGAAAAATGACAGTTACTATGTGCTTGTTCTGTGGATAATAGGAAGACAGAGCCCTTGAAATGAATTAAAGGGAATGGCATAAATTTATAAAAGTAAGAAAAGTCAACTGGGATATTCATCTTATATTTAAATCCATGATAGAGGTAGAGCTGATTCAAAAAATCATAAATTATACTAGGGGGAAACAAGTCACTAGAATTTACTTGTAATTTCTTTGTCCCAAATTGGTGTATTTTCTCTTTTAAAAATTAGAATTCAGGCCACTAAATTTGTTATTATGCTAAAATTAGGAACACAATTGGATTATCATTTGGTTTTTTACTTTTACCCAGGGGAATAATATTTTAGCACAAAGTCAATTCATGGTCTGGTAAAAGTATTTTTATTGGGAAGTTTGTTGATTCATATTAAATTCCCACCCCAAGACCTGTCACCTTTTTGTAGGGAAGCTTCATTCCATGGGACTGTGTGTTTGGATAGACATTTAACGCATGTGTCTATTGCCTTAGGAGGAAAAATTGCTTCTGAGATTTGGAACACATAGTCTTGGTACAGAGGCTGAAGAAGTTGTTTCCGTTTAACTCTCACAGTATCATGCTTCCCTGTGTTTTAAATTTCTATTTCCCCTTTTCCCTCTACTTTTCATCCTTTTTGTGAAGTTAAACAAGGCTTCAAATCTGGGTAAAAAACATTGCCTTTACCAAGTTTATTCCACGTTCATGAGGGATTATATTTACTTAAATAATGCTTCATTCAGAATCGACAAATCCCTTCTGCTTTTCAATATATCCAATAATACCCAGTCGTGCTGAGTGTTAGATAACAGGTTCACAGCATAGCATTCAGAATTATTGGGATCAAAATAACTGCTCATGACTTGCCCAGTGGTGTTACTCACAGGAGCAGACATTACAGGTGGTGTGACAAAAACGTGCAAATCTTAAATCAGCCTTGTAAATTTTATATGGATATTCTAACCTATGAAATGAGTATCTTAGAACAGAATGCAATAAACATTTTTTAATTGTGGATCAAAAATAGTTAGAAAAATTCAGAAAAGAATAGTGTCAATGTCTTCAGGGAAAACTTCCCTTAGACTTTTGGACTTGAACTTAACTTTGAAGAATTGGAAGACTATAGTTAAAAAGAGAAGAAGGAGGGATTTTAGCTGATTATATCAGCAAGGGAATTGCCCTAGACCAACTAGAATAGCGTTACAACTGTTAGGGCCACTATTACATACCTCACATTAGTGGGCTTTATTTTCCTTTTTTCAGTTTGTTCTTGAGTCCATGGCAGCTGAATTTCCAGAGGAGATTTCACATCTGCTTGTCATATAAACTTCAGCTCCGGTCTAGCGAGGATGAAAGTCTTCCTGAGATCCTGACTGAGCAGCCTTTCTCCCACTGCATTTGACACAGCACTACTTCACGGTGATTCTGGCTCCTTCCCCACCCTCTGTGTGTTGTAAATCCACTGCACTGTGCCACAAGGTCAGCTGGGTGTAGATGCAGGGCCTGCCAGAGGTGCTGACAGCTCTATCTTTTCTGAGGGAAAGGAAACGCTGGGTCCTGAAATCTGGTTGCAGTCTTGGCCCAAGAGTCAAAAGTGATTTCATCTTGAAGGATGTGATAATTATTATGGACTACGCTTCAGCGACTTAAGTCTGTTTCCAGTGATGAATCTTATGGTGTTCCTTCTTAAAGTTTTTAGAAGCACTGGTAGGGCAAAGGAGCTGTAATTGAAATGGGCATGAGTGGAGGAAGAAAATAAGTCCAGAAAGTCCTGCAGAATTATATTGATTTGTTAAGTGTCTAGTAGTTACATTAGACTTCATTTTTCTTTAGCCCAAGATGGAAGATTCACTTTAAGAATATCCATTTTTTATACAATGATGGTGTTAGGACCTTTTCTAACTCTCTTTGTTCTGATTAATTTTTATTTTAAAATTATTTCATTGTTTACCTATAACAAATTTTATTAAAATAGATACAGTAAAAATTGGGAAATTTTCTCTGGGTAAAAAATGTTGTATTAAAGCCAGAGCTAAGAATCTCTTTTGCCGAAATCTATCAATATAAATTTCAAAATATGCTTTTCAAAATTAATCACACAAAAATTTCCAGAAACAACCACGTAAAGAAGAAAGGACAATTTCACTTAAAAAGAAAAAAAAAAAAAAAAAAAGCCAAAAAAAAAAAAAAGCAATGGAAGATTCCACCATAGCTCAGGTTGCTCTTAATACCACCTTTACTCACCAAAGTAGGGGTGGAGAGTGAAAGGAGAATATATAATGGTAAAATTTGTTGTATGGACTAAATAGGTAGAGGTAGAGTAGGAAGACAGAAAATTATAGGAGAAAAAAACAATCTAGAAGAGAACAAACCCTTAGCTGTAACTATTGGATCTCAGGGAGGGGTAGCTTATCGGACGCACCGTATCTGCCTAGGGTCCCACATTTAGGAGGGCCCCATGCTTGGTTCAATACTATGCTGTCACAGTGTTGAAATTCTTAATACTTCTTGAACGAGGCGCTCTGTGTGTTCATTTTGCACAGTGTGACACAAGTAATGCAGCTGGTTCTGACATCTGGGAAAGAACTGACATCTGGTCTCACTAGGTCGAAAGAAAAATTTCAGATGAAGTGCCAGTCACCCTGTAACATATGCTAGAATCATCTGGGAAGCTTTTGAAAACTGCAGTGCCCAGGCCACATTGCAGACCAATTTAATAAGAGTCTTGGCAGGGGTAGGGACAGAGGTCGTAACGTGAGGTGGGACAAGGCATCAGTAGTTTTAAAAGCTCCCCAGGTGATTACAATTTGCAGCCAAGAATAACAACCACAGAAGGGAAGCCAAATGAGAATGCACACAGGTGGAGCCACAGGAGGCAGGCACAGTGAGGGCTAAGTGAAGTACCTAAACTCATCTGTGAGTTACTATTGGGTTCTTATTCTTTGCTCGTTTGACCTGAAACTTGCTGCTGGTGAAAAGAACACACAAGGGACTTGATTCTCTTAAATAGAAGCTTTGACTCAAGAGCTCTACTCTGAATTGGGAGAAGAAGACACCCTCTCGTGCCCCACCACCAATGTGCAGGAAGAACGCTGGTGCAGGATACTTAGAATCTCAGTGGAAAGAGCAGAATCTGTGTCATCCAGTGTATGGCCCCAGAGAGCTGTTAGTAAGACCAGCTTTGAAACTCCAGCTCACAGGGAAACACAGACTTTAACAAGCTGCTTACTAGTCTGCTTATAAACTATCTAACTGTAGAAGTAGAACTAGAAATAGGTATTTTTCTCTTTAAATAAGCAGAGCTATATACAGAGATACAGATTTATAAATTACGGACTAAACAAGTAAATTTAATGCTCCCTCACTGATAAGGTGGGGAAGGAAGCAGGCAATCCTAGTCAAACAGGAGTCTTCAGGGCTATAAATTTTCAACATAGTGAGGAAGGCAGAGTGACTGCGAAAGGAGAGAAAGTGAGGGGTAGAATTTTAAAAGCCTGTGAGTTACCAAGGAAACTGGACCTTTTCGGTTCTCTTTGGGGAGGGAAATCACTTATGAGGGAGTTTTAGCAGATGCAATAGTAGCAGTATGTCATCTCATGTCATTAGGTTTGTAGGAAAGAGGGCCATTGGGCCTTCTCTTTGGGGGCCAATTCAGTTTAGTTATGGCTCTTGCTGTATGTGGCCAAGCCTTCTGAGATTGAGTAGTCTGGCCTTGGTATCTTATTAAACCTCATTAAACTTATCAAACTTTATTGACTAAAATTGGCTAAAGTTTTTCACTTCAAACATTGCATTGGTGCTTAAACTCAAGTTCCAGGTATATCAGCAATTTGCCTCAATCTGATTTTAGCCTCTAACTCTTTCAATCAATCTAATGACCAAAGAAAGAAATTCTCTGTAGAAAATGGCATTGAAACTTCTGATATCTCAAAATATGTTAAACTAGCATGAATCTACTTTTTTTAATGCATAATCTCCATTGTGGACATAATACTTAGATGCCTAATGAGGCTCCTGGGTTTGTTAAACTATTATAAAAACTAATAAAACACCAAGGGTGAGAAATGACAGATGGCTAGGTAATAGTGTGTCTGATCAAACAGCAGCATAATACAGCAAAGCTTTTTATTTGTGAGTGAGGAGATTGGGGAGTGGTTTGTAGTAGTGCCTCGGTCTTCTATAATTGAGTTTCTTGAACTGGTGCCACATTTGCTCCTCCAAAGCAGAAAAATCCACCATAGCTCTCATGGCTGGTAAGGAGTAGTGGAGTCACATGAGGATCATTCTGGGACACCTGAACTAAAATGGGGAGTGAACAACAACACACCACCACAAGAGAGAGTGATTGCCCAATGGAAAATGGAGTGCCAGAGTTCTCTCTGACTTAAGAAATCAGCCCATCTCAATCCTCTAAACGTTGCACGCAAGTAGGAGTTGAACATTGGTTTCTTTACACAGATTCCGATTCCCAGTCTAATGAGGGCAATGCCACAGGTAAAAGTGAGCTTTGAGAAAAATGTAAAAAATGTTTCAACATAGCAACCACTATAAGTGAAAGACAATAAAATAAAATAAACTGAGCAAACGTTAGCAGTACAAGTAGATTTATTAAACGTAGTAGATGATATTATAAACACAAATTAATGAAAACAAGATATTAAAAGTACTGTCTGCAAATAATTGGGCCTGAAAAATAACATAGATGTTAAAGAAAACAAAAAACTCAACAAATGAGTTGAATTGCAGAATGAATGCAGCTGCAGAACAAATCAGTGCAATAAGGGTTAAGGTCAAGGAACTCTCCTATTTCGAACACAATACAGCGTGACCAGATTGCATCAATTCCAGGAAAACACGTAATATACAGCATTAAAAAGTGCAGTAGTACATCTCACCATATTATATCCAAAAATAAACCCCATATGATTATTTCCATAGATACGAAAAAATTTGACAAAATGTAATGCTAGTTTTTGATTTGAAAATAGTTACATACTATTAGTTATGATGAATTGTAATGATGAATATTCCCTTGACATGATAAAATATGTATCTTGACTTAAAAGCCAACTACTGGAGAAGAGCTAGGAATATTTCCTCTATAACCAGGAGAAAGACAAAAATTTCCACTATCACCATTACTACTTAGTATTTTATCTGTGGTATTAGTCAACACAATTAGACAAGATCAATATATTAGAGGAATAAGAATTGTAGGTTAACCATAAAATTAACTCCTATAAATCAGCAATCTTCATATATTAAACTGTCTAGTCAATATTTTGAAGGAGAGGAGCTCATTTAAAACAGTAAAATCAAATAAAATACCTATGAATAAACTTAATAGAACATGTGTAAAATCTATATGAAGAAAATTGAAGTACTCCTGGATAAATCAAAAGGAGTCTTGAAAAATGAAACTACATTCAATGTTTTTGAATAGTAGATTTAATATCAAAAAGCTGTCAATTGTAATGTAAACCTGAAAAATATACCAACAAATTTCTTTCATTTTTTCCCTGGAACTATTCAAGCTCATTTTAAAATTCTTTTAGAAAAATAATCAAACAACACAATGCAGAGAAATCCTAAAAATTAAGAGCAATAAGAGGACACTAGTTCTTCTACATATCAAAACATACAAACATGCCTCAATTATTAAAAATTTGTGACGTTGGCTGACACATGTGGAGACATACAAACTAATAGATAAAATACAAAATCCTGACATAAACACATGCAAATTTAGTATTAAAGTGGCACTCCAGTCAGTAAGATGATGATGGATTTTTTTAAATACTATGTTGGGATAACTAAGTACCAATTTATTTTACCCAATAGCACCAAAGTTTTAAATGTAAAATGTCAATCTATAAAATACTAGAAAAAATGTGAATAAATGTGTATGAAACTTTGGAGTAGGGAAGTTGATTCTTTCTACTCTTCAAAATCTAGAAGATATAAAATAAAATATTGATAAATTTGATTATGTACATGCAAAAACATCTACATAGTGAAAAGATAAAAAGATATAAACAATTTCAAAGTTCAAATGACAAATCAAGAAAAAACAATCATAACATCTCAGAGGAAAAAGACTACTTCCTCTTTTATATTCGAAGCTCCTAGGAATTTATAAGAAAAAAAGATCAATAACACAATAGGAAAATAAGGCAAAAGACACATGGCTTGATGGTTCATAGGGAAATAAATAAAAAGACACTTAAATACTTGAAAAGATATTTAACTTCATTTAGAAGATATGCAAATCAAAGCTACAGTGAAATGCCATTTTTACATTCATCAGATTAGAAAAATATAAAAATTTAATGTGTTGTAGAAAAAGCTGAGAGGAAAACCAACACTACATAATTTTCTGTTAGAAGTATAGTATGATATAACCCTAGGAGGAGAATTTGGCATTCTCTACCAAATTGTAGATATATTTACTCTTTTAATTTGTAGTCCCCTTATCGGAATCTATTTATAGATAAAACTGCACATGTAAGAATTGGCATAGGCCTAGCATATTCAATCAGGCATTATTTGCAAAAAATGATAGGAAACAACACAAAGATCCAGCAATAGGGAATTAGTTAAATAAACTATTATGTACAACCAACAATTTTTTTTACAAAAAGGAGAAAGTTTTCTATGTATTGTTTAGTACAAATTGCCAGGCCCCGTTGTTCGGTTAAAAACACCAAGTGGAAAAAATTGT